GGCTGCGGAGCAGTTTTTCTTTAAAAACAGAGTCCAGAGAGAAGGGGGGAAGCTTTGGGAGCTGCTCCCCTCCCCCCCAGCACAATCCCATTGGCTGGTTTCTGGTCAGAAACCAGCCAATGGGAGCTTCCTGTTTCAGTAACAGGCAGCTATGAAGCACAAGGGGCTCTAGAGCACATGGCAACTGTCTGTACAGGGACTGGGCAGGCACTGCACAGTTCCCTCTTAAGCTGTGCTGCCCCACAGCTCACAGGTGATTAATCAGTCCCATCTCCGCCTCCACCCCAGCGCAGTCAGAGGCTCAGGGATCCATGTACTGAACTGACTACCTAGGTGGAGCTAATTAATCACCTGTGAAGCTGTGCTATGGCACAGCTTAGAGGGAACAACTAGCAGGCAGGGAGGCTGATTCAGGAACAGCTGCTGGCCGGTAAGTCTCCTAGCCAGAGCCTGCCTCTGGCACCGCAGTCCCTCCTTTACCCAACTCTTTACCCCACCACTCCTGCCTCCTACTCCACATACTCAAATCCTCTGCCCCCCTCCTGTACTCATATCTCCTCCCAGATACGGCACCCAGTCCCCTGCCCCAGATATCAGTCCCCTCCTGCCCTTGCTCACAACCCAAAACCCTGCACCCCCCTCCTGTATCCTAATTCCCTGCCCTAGGTCACAATACAACCCCCTGCACTCTAATCTAGTGCCCTAGGTCACAAGTGCCTCTTTCACCCAAATTCCCTCCCTTATCCCAAGCACTTTTCTGCACCCAACCTCCATCCCAGACCCTGCATGCCCTCCATTAATATAATGGAAGAGTGCAGTCCTTGACCACTTCCTAAATTCTTGGAGTGGCCGCCCCGTCAAAAATTATTGCCCACCCTTGGCCTAAAGGGTCCTGGTGAGGTGGCCATGGGCCAGATATGGTGGCTTGGCAGGCCAGATCTGGCCCACTGGCAGCTAGGGTTGCCAGGTAGACCCCGTTTCCAGGTGGACACACTTGATTGTGGGAGGGAGGGGGAGAGGGAGGGGAGAACGGGCCAGGGGGGGGGCGGGACTGG